GTGAATAATAAATTGTAAATTTCTCATATAAATTTAATAACTTATATGTCATTGTTATAATTTGTAATACATTTAATATAAATATTAACTCGAGCCATATAAATAAAATTATCGGTTTTTAAATGTCTTAATATTGTACGGAGCTCTGACATCATAAATTTAATAGTTGAAGTATACAATTTACGTATCATCCAAATAGTTAAGGGTGATAGCGGTGGAAACAAAAATTGTTATTTTTTTATCAATAATATTAAAGAGCTTTTGTCTCTTAATTGACAATTGCACCTTAATCGTGTTCATTGAAAAATAAATTATGTAGCAGATAATTTTATAGTTTACTGTAAGTATATTTAATTTGAAATTCATATTCTGAATTATTTGTCCTATAATATAGTTCGTTGGATTCAACATTACACGGTGGGAGTAGCATATCCTATAATAATTTACATAATAGATTAAGTTTTTAAACTCTCTTGTTGTTTTTTAAAAAAATATCAATTTTTAATTTGGTTGAAATTCTTTCGAATATGTTAATGTAAAAAAAAAAATATAACATACTAATTAAAAATATAATATAGATAATATTTTTTAAGACAGTAATATATTACATATGTGGTAAACTTGATCTTCATGTTAACTTTCAAACATACTTCTTATAAGTTTCGAATTTCATAATATTATTATTTATGTTATTTACTTTAAAAATTATTTGGAGGAAGATTTTGAATAACTCTTGTCTACACCGAACTTATAATAATAATAATAAAATAATGTTTAAAAAAAACTTTGAAAGATCGGAAGGTGGGCCCAGCTCATTGGCCGCAAAGAAGAGAGTCTTGATAAATGGACTTTCTTTAACGCTTCTTTCACTTTCGTGCAGAGAGCGGAGTGATGCGGTCAACAAAGTCAGCAACTTAACACAAATTTATTGTCTTCTTCGCTTCCGGCGTGAAAATCTATACTCGGCCTTTTCTGCTACTGTAAAAACGGTGTCGTACTTATAAGTATCTTATTTGACGTGGCGCGACGACTCCGATTCAGATTTGCACCCCCGTGATCTCGGAGTTATATTTTGTTGCATATTGACCGTTGGATGATATCTATCTTTTCTGAAATCGGACGGTTGAAAATGACCGAGTGAAAATGTTAAATGAGGACGGTTACGTGTAATCGCCGTACTTACAAGCATAAAATAAGTGTTAGAAAAAAGGTTGCGTGTTTTGGTCCGAAACCGTCAACGGTCTTACCGACAACTTTAAATATTACTGTTTGCTTTTGCAGAGTTAGAATTGGATTTTTCTGCTTTCTGTTTCTTCCCTTCCTTTTATTTATTTATTTAATATTCTTTTGATATTTAATAATTTGTCGAATTTTAAAAATAAATCTGAACAATTAGATTTATTTCATGAATTTATTGTTAGATTATAATTATACTAAAATTTAATAAAAAAATATAATTTAAATAACATCAAATCAATTTTAGACAAGTTAAATAGAATTTGTTTGTTTAAATTTATGTAAATTATTGTTTTAGTATATGGATTTCATAGTTTTCTGTCTATTAAATATTTTTAGTAATATACTAATAAAAAATAATTAATTTATTTTATTTAGATAACACATATGATTATTATTAACCACAGTAAATTTCACCCATCAATTTAATGTATTATTCTTTGTAATTTAAAAAAATAAATACTATGATTAATATTTAAGCTAATCATAAATATAATATAAAAGAGAGTCCTGCCGTGGGTCATGCTATCAGTACTTTTTATTTTTATTTTAAAAAAGATTTTAAATATAAATAAATATTTATTTTAAATTTGTCGTACATTTAATTTAATTTAATTTTTTTAAAAATATCATCTCAGTATTATTGCAAATTATCTTGGAAGATAAAGTAAGTCTCCCAAAAAGTTTAACGTAAAATATATTTTATATGAAAAGAGCACAATATCTTTTAACGCACTATATAATATTCCTCAAATTTGATTTTTTTTAAAATAAAGTTTTTATTTTATTTTATCATTTAATTTGTAATACTTATTAAAGTCAGTCAATTTTGTTTTTGTTTTTGTTTTTTTTTTTTTTGTTTTTAAGTTCACAAATTTTATAGATTTTTAATTAAGTATATTTTTATTTAATTTATAAATTATATATAATAATGATTATTTAATAAAAATATAAAGAAAGTTATTAAAACATAAATAAAATATAATGTTTAATTCATATATCTTAATAAAATAAAATGAAATTTCTCCTTGTCCAACGAAGTAGGTGCTCCGTTAATCAAAACGAAGAGGGTGCCCGAAACAAAAAGATTTATTTTTCGTAATTAACAAAATAATAAAATAATAAATTAAATTAAATTAAATTTCAATTATTAATAAGAAACGTAAGTTAGGGGATTGGAACTTTTTATTTTATTAAAAAATAAAAAAAAGCAATATTTTATGGCGGGGTTGCTGCTTTAACAGCACAGCACCAGTTTGACTGGATTTTAAATGCAATTATTATAAAAATATTTTTTTGAACTCCCAAAAAACAACCTTCTATCAATTTCTAGGGCACATAACTGTTTGTAATTTTACGAAATTGCCCTCCAATTGGTTTTTTTTTATTTTTTTAAAAAATTATCCCAATATTATCATTATCTCACAGGAATCATTATTTTAATGAAAATATTAATTTAAAAGATTTACCGAAATAATGCTAATTAAAAAAGTGGAAGAAATAAGCCCTTGTTACTATATGAATATTTTAAAATTATTAATATATTATCAAAGTAAATCTCGATTAATATATAATAAAATAATATTTATTAATTGTAGCGATTATTATATATTATTATTTACAATTTAACCTCAAAAAAATATACTGCTTCTTGTTTTGGGTGCGAATATTTAATTAGTAATTATTAAATTAATTACAGTATTTTTTAGGAGTTACAGTATTTGGGTTTTTTTTTTCTTTTTCTTTTTCTTTTTTAATGAGAAAGAAATTTAATGTAATGATTTTTTAATTACCTGATTTTTAGCAGAATATTACTTAATACGAACGCTTAAATATTTTATATATTTTTTTTACACTTTTTAATTATTATTATTTTTTTAATTTTATTATTTCCAGAATTCGAAATTGACATTTATTTTTTCACAAGAAAATGAAGTGAAAAGACATTTAGTATGGAAGCAGCAAGCAGGAATATATGCATGATGAGGGGCTGTTACATTGGTGTAAGTCACTATCATGTCGTTTTAAATTAGCTTTTCTTTTTATATTATTTCTTATTTATCATATAAATATTTTAACTTTATATTTATGTAAGCAAACTAGCATTTACTTTGGTGCCAAGCGAAGCAAATAAAAAATTATAAAAATGGAATTACAAAAAAAATAATAATTAATTAGAGAATTTACTCTAATTGAGAGGGGTAATTTTGGTATTTAAATGCAGAAGGGTGCGTTCTGGTAATTCTCATCATCAGACTTGAGAATCCAGACAAGATAAAACACAGTGTTTTTCTCCATAGAGTTTTCTCTTATATTTTCTCCTCCATTAATGGAGCCAGGTATATAATCTCCTTCCTTCTTTCTTTCTCTCTCACGTCAAAGTTCAAAAAGCAACTTTGCCTTCTACACTGTTTCTACTTCTGGCGCCATTTTTATTTCTCCTTCATTGTTCAATCCTCTCTCTCTCTCTCTCTCTCTCTCTCTCTCTCCTCCACTTGTCCAAGCTAGTTAATTCTCTCTTTTTGTGTCTTCAATGAACGAAAAGGAGAGCACGGTGTCTGGGTCACCGGGTAACTCGGAGACTGAGTCACCGCCACCCGTGACGAGCAACATGGCGGCGGTACAACCTCAGGTGGTGAACATGAACATGAACACGAACATGAACATGAACACGAACACCAACACGAACACGAACACGAACACGAACACGAACACGAACACGAACACGAACACGAACACGAACACGAACACGAACACGAACATGGCGGTGGGGGTGGACAGAACAACGTTAGCAACAACAATGGGAACAACGGCGACGGCGACGGTGACGGGGACGATGATGGTGACGACAGCAGGATCAGGAGGATTAGGGAGCAGCGGGAGTGGGAAGAAGAAGAGAGGGAGGCCGCGGAAGTACGATGCCGATGGAAACCTTAGGGTTCCATACCATGTCGGATTGTCATCATCATCTCCTGGTTTTTCTCTCTCTCCTTCTTCTCCTTCCAACGACTACTCTAATTCGAAGAAATGCAAAGGGAGACCTCCTGGTTCTGGTAACTGGCAGCTCCTTGCTTCTCTAGGTGAGTCACAACATCAGCACCCGAAGAAGAAAAATAGTTGGTTTTCACGTTGATTCTTGTTGTTATCTATCTGTAGAATTTTGTTTGGTCGCCGAGAAAATGCAGGTTGAGGAGGGAACATAAAAGTTTAGTTAGGGCTTATCTTTTTTTTTTTGTTTGGGTATTTGGTAATGAACATAGAAAGCCAGGCAAGAAAATGTTATATTCTCACGAAAACGGGACAGAAAATATGTATTTTCATCTATTTTTCTTACCAATCACATGGAAGGTTAGGTGATCCACAGTAGATTCATTTTTGTTGGCTTTTGAATTTGATTTCTTCAGTTTATCATTTCCGTCATAAACAAGTCCAGTATCATGAAATTAAGTTAAATTATTTCTAAAAATCGATAATCATATTGTTTAAGTGCAAGGTTAAGGATTTGCCTCAAGTTTATTTTGAAGCTTGATTTTGTGGAGTTTGAATCTGTGAAGGTGAGTTGTTTGCAAGCACGGCTGGAGGAGACTTTACACCTCATGTGGTTACAGTACATACTGGAGAGGTATAATTAAGTTAAATCTTGTTTGTTTCTTGGGGTATAGATCAGAATTTACATGTTACAGAATTAATTTAGTTTTGTCTTTTACAGGATGTTGCAGGGAAAATTCTCTCATTTTCTCAAAAGGGTCCGAGAGGGATTTGCATTCTATCTGCCAATGGAGCTGTTTCTAATGTTACTATTCGTCAGCCGGGTTCTTCGGGTGGTATCTTGACATACGAGGCATGAACCTACCTCGGACATTGTTAATTATTTATATTCTCACACAATCTTTTACGCCTAAGTGTATTAGGGTACGCTATAAAATTTTTTACTTCTATTTTGCAGGGTCGATTCGAAATATTGTCATTATCTGGGTCATTCACTGTTTCTGATTCTGGTGGTGTAAGAAGCAGAACTGGTGGATTGAGCGTTTCACTCGCTGGACCTGATGGTCGTGTAATTGGAGGTGGAATTGCTGGTTTATTGACAGCAGCTAGCCCCATCCAAGTAAATATTTTCCTTCCCCTCATTTCTCTGTTTGGTTGCCGACAAAATCAAAACAAGTGTTTTGATTCTTTATCTTGTAGATTGTTGTTGGGAGCTTCATGCCAAATGGTTACAAAATGTACAAAAAGAAACTCCAGCGCGAGCAGACTTCTTCCACGAGCTTCCCACTAGGTACAGATTCGTTAACAGCCGCAAGACCAATCTCGCAAGCCAAGCCTGAGGGTGAGACCTGTTTGGCTCCTGGATCTCCGGTGAAGGGACAAAGCCATGGCGAAGCAGATAGCTCCAGAAACGATGTGAAGACTGCAAACTCTTTGCATGCCGCTGGTTGGATATTAGGCCACGATTCTAATCATCAGCGGACATCTCCCGACATCAATGTGTCGGTGCCAAGCGAATAGGATGTGTAAAAGGTATGTTGTTGTTTGTCTTGGCTCAAATTTGGAAGAAGCAGAGAGATTGTTTTTTCTGATCTCTTTGCTGGGTAGGTTGAAATACTGAGAGGCTGACAGGTTAATCTAAGTGAATAGAGAAGATTGATTTGTTCTGTTGTGACAATTGGATTTGTTAACCAAACAAATTGGTTGTTAGGAATTTGCTGACAAATTTAGTCTCTAATTCTTTTCAGCAATGTTGGTAAGAACATGGTTGTTTCTTGATAATCCTGATATTTTGATCCTTTCTGCAATCTATATCATTTTTCTTAAGCAATCTCCAACTTTCGGTTTCTAAATTATAATTTTATTTCTCAAATATCTCAAGAAAAAAACCCAACTAAGTTTTAGAATTGAACTAAATTAGACCAAGAAAATTGACCCATATAAAATTTCATGTGAATCATATCTTAATCAAACATAGCGTAACATGACTTCTGATTTCCAATTCTGGAGTTTCATTGTAATTCATATCTCAATCGAACTCATCCTCTGAGAAAGACGACGAATGATCTTCGAGTAGTAGAACCATTGGGGATGTGAAGGAGTAACCGGTTTCTGTCCGAATGAATGTGTCTTTACATATGACTGGACATCATCTGCCTTCGCCAAGCCATCCAAGAACAAGCATAACTCTCCATTAGGATCTAAAACAAATGGTTAATTTCAATAAAACAATTAGTGAGGATTCAATAACTTAGCAAAAAAGTTCAAATTGAGGCATCATAATACTGATTCTTGTGTTTTGTATGCTCACCAAGGGCATCATCATGAGCAAACCCTGGCTTGTATGATTTTGGGTAGATACCGGTGTTAAGCTGCAAGAAGGCATGAGAATTTGTTATAAACACAATATATTATAAAGTAGGATAAGAAAAAGTTTTTCAATTTCATATTTGGTTTAATGATTGTCCATTAAACATACAGGATTGAGTAAACCCTTGTAAGGTTTATCATCTATCAGCAATGTATTTGTTGCAGAGAAATTTCCCTCTTTCTTTAGAAATTGCTTGTTGATTTTTCCCCATAGATTCTGCAGCTCCTTGAGATAAAGAGGCTTCCCTACCTTCTCCAAGGACTTGAATCCAGAATCAGTACATTGTTCCTGATCCTGAATTTGAAAATTATCCATTTATATATGTATATATAGGCATAGCAAAACCCATTACAATTTTTCTCCATTAACATATATTTCTTCAGTGCTTTGATTTTGTAAGTCATAGAAAGCTATAAAACCAGGCTGGGTTTAACTTTTACTTACCCACTCAAACAGAAGTTTACTCTTTAAATCTCCCATTACACAACCCAAGACGCCCTCAACATTTCGTCTGTTTACAAATAACCGGATAGAGTTCATTCAAGTCACAAGTCGGTCATATAGATTATATAAAAACATATATATGTACCTATATGAAAGAAAAGGGGTTAAGGGGTTAATCGATACTAACTCTAGTGCGGAGGACCAAATTCCTACTTCAAATCTTTCAAAGCAGAACCTCATAAATTCATCGCAGAAAGGCCTCTTAAAAACTGCAGAAAACGATTGAACAGTTAAACCCAAAAAGAGTAAAAAAAAAAGATGTGAATTACAGTTTGATATTAGAAAATACCCAGATGCTTCCCGTATCTTGCCGGAACAATACGAGTCTTGGGCATTCTAAGCTTATCGTCAAAGAAAACTCTGTATACAAGCAATCCATTTAAACTGAGAACAATAAGCTTTTTCCTCGGCCCAAGATTCAATTTTTCCAACGAAACCAAACACCCAATTGCTGCGTCTTCTTCTTGATCCTCTCGATTGTGAACATCACAACCATCACTTTGACTTGCAGCAGATTTAGCTAAGGCACTTGAGATACTTGCATCCTCTGCCATCGTTTATCCGCGCAGTGCCGAGATGAAATCTGTAGTAGGGTTGGCTTATATAGCTTGAGGATTGATTTGGAAATGGCTGATTCCACAGCTTGAATTTATAGAATTGAAGGAATCTACTAGGAAGTTTGGTCAAGACTTCGTAGTGAAGTTATCGAGTCGCCTTCATGGTTAAGTTGTGAAAGAAAATGACATTGGAAAGGATATTCCAATTAAGCTTTAAAAAGAGAAGAAAAAGAATTAATTATTATATTAACCACTAATCACAGTCATATGGCTGCAATTATAATAATTAAAAATATTTTTGTACTTAATTGTGTTTCTCATATTTAATCCACAAATATTTTTATATATACTTTTTAGTAGTTTATTCTCAAATACGTAAAAAAAAAATAATAAAAATTTGGTACTAAAAAAATCTGTCTGTAATTTTATTTTTTTGGTTTCTTGTATGATGAAAATAAAAAAATATATTTAATAATAAAAATTGATACTTGTTAAAAGGGTGTATAAATTTACATTTTTCTTTGTAAGAATATTCTACCATCTAAAAATAATTTTAAGTGATTCCACCTAGAATTGGAAATAACATTATAATTATACAACACATTTACAACTGCATCACAAAGCCTATCCATTTTCATAAGCTCTTTCATCTAAATTTTGTTGCGTCCCACTTATTTTTCAAAGCTTTGCTACATTTCAGAAGTTCAACTAACTTATAGGTATTATTATTCTTCAAAGAACTCATCTCTTTTTCCATAACTTTCAACCACTGAGCATTTTCTTGATAGTTACAAACTTTTTGAAAGCTTTTTGGCTTTTTCTCTTTAGTAATTATAATATATTCAGAACTGAAATATCTAGCAGAAGAATAATGTATTCTAGTTGATCTTCAAAGCCGAGGTTCTTCCGTAACCTGTAATGCAAGGGGCTGCTCTCCCTGCTCAACATCATCTGATACTAACATATTATCAAACCCTTGATCATCATGTAGCTCTCCCTCATCTATGACATCTTTGATCGAAGGGGAAACTAGTGCAGGAAGAGGAATTTCATTATTTATAATCTTTTCTGATGTCTCAAAGTCTGATAAGGTCTTGTGCTCACTAAAAATTACATCTTTGGATCTAATGACTTTTTTCTTTACTGGATCTCATAACTTGTACCCAAACTCTGCATCTGTAATACCCTTAATTAATTTTAATATATTTAAAATTAATATATAAATATAATTTTTAAATTTTTGAATTTTTATTTAATGTAAAAATAAAGAAAAATAGATGGAGGATGAAATTGAAAATAATTTTGGGAAAAATTGGTGAAAATTTGGGTTATGGGGATGTTTTTGAAAGAAAAATCGGAAACTGGAGGTCAAAATGCAATTTAAGAAAAATATGCCACTTAGGACGCCTAGTCAGCAGTCCTGACGAACCAGAGCACGCCGCGTGGTAAGGCATGCTAGCGCGGTGCCACACGGAAGGCCACGCTGGCAATCCGCGGGACCACGAACGGACGGTTCGGATTTGTTCCAGCGCGTGGACGGTTCCGATCCATTTTTTCTTTAAACGCGATCGTACGGTCCAGATCAAATCATGATGAACGATTTAGATTCACTTCCTATTTAAACGCGATCGGACGGTCCAGATCAAATCGCAATAGACGGTCTAGATTCAATTTCTATTTAAACGCAATCGGACGGTTTAGATCGAACGCAATGGACGACCCAAATTAAAAGGAGACAGATATAAATACCTCACTTCACACCAAACCCTAACCCTAGCCGCCAGACTCCCCCACTGGAAAAGAAGACCTAGTCGTCGGGAAGGGAGCCGACCACCTCCCGCCGCCATGCTGGAGCCACCTTCGACTGCCAAAAGAGGTAAAAAAATTTTAATTTACTTGAAATTTGATTTTAAACACCCCCATGGCCAAATCAGAGCAAAAGGATTGGCAGATGAGTCAGAAACTGCGAGTAAAGTCCAGCGGCGCTGCCACAAAAAAAAGCAAAAACAGCCTCTGATGAGGCCCTTCCGTGTAATTTTTACACCATTGTAATCACCATTCCTATTTCTACAGGTTGACTGAAGCAAAATACCCAACCGTGAAGGTGAGTTGGTAGAGCCACCGCACCGAAAACTTCACCGCCGGTAAGCCTCTGTTTTTCGACTTTTTTCGGCAAACCGATGCCTCTTAACGTGTTTTTTCGCAATGAAAAGTACAAAACCGGCCAAAATTGGTCGAAACTGGCCAAAAATGGCCAGCCCCACCGCCGCGGGTGGCAGTGTCGACACCGGAAGGATGGAGGCGACGCCGTGTTAGAATTACGAAATTGACCAAAAATAGTTTCTAACACCGATTTTAGATTTTTAGAGTATTTTTAGGTACTTTGAGTATGGCGTCGACGCCGTGTCGGAATTACGAAATTGACCGAAAATAGTTTCTAATATCGATTTTAGATTTTTAGAGTATTTTTAGGTACTTTGAGTGTGTTTTAATCCTCGAAGAAAAATTCAGGGAACCCAGTGACTGCCAGTAGGTGCAGCTAAAAGTTTAGCGTTTGGACATCAATTCGGGTAAGAATCCCTCACCTTATTCCCTGTTATAGAATTGGAGTCTAATTATAAATAATACAGTATTTTGCGTGATTTAAAAATATCGATAATTAAATGTTATTAATAAAGTCTGAACTAGTTATTTATTACTATTTATCATGTTTTAATTGATTAATTGATTTTACAATTTTGAATGCATGATAATATACTAGAATTGGTATGATGATTTGTTTGTGTCCCTTAATACATGTATTGCTTGTTTTGCATGGTTCATAGTTAAATTAAGAAACTAAAAAATTAAATGTAAACGAGAAATTGATTGATTAACTGAATGGATGAATGGTAGTCTTACTAGATATCCTGTGAGATGGTGGACAGACTGGGTACATAGAGAACCCTACCATGAATGTTGCCTCATACCAGATAGAGTATCGAGGATTTATATTTTGGTGCTCATACCGGATGGGGTATGGGGAGGGCCCGTTAGTTGAAAATGTTGAATAAAGGTTCACGCGTTGTAGGAACATCCCTATGGATCCCCATGGATACCAGTAGACTGATAAAGGAAAACATTGTTGTTCCGACTGATTGAACATGAGATTATGATATTGTTTATATTATTGCATCTATATGTCAGTTTTGCAAATCTTGCTACGTTAAGTATGCAGTAAATAATTTTATTCATGATAAATAAATTTACTTAAATTGAGAGCTCAATTAGTTATTTTTATGATTTCTATCAACCTTCATTTATGTCTCTCCACCATATCATCAAGTACCACCACAAGGCCATCTAGTCCATCCCTAGCATAATCCAATCCCTCTCCTACGGGACCTACTTCATTCCATAATGGACCCAAACTACATCGAGAGGTATAAAAGACTAAACTCATCTATTTTTGTAGGGTGATCTTCCTTTGAAGAGGTCAAGTACTGGTTTAGCTGAGACAGAGAAGACCTTCACGACTTTTAGGGTGATTTTTGAATATAGAGTCATATTTGTCACCTACATGCTA